AACCCTTCCTTTAGCGTCGTTTTTGGTGGTCTCACTTGCTTCGCTTCCATGGAGCGGGCAGCCCGTCCGTCCCTCTCATTAGCTATTTTGCCTTTCTGCCCTTGTTTCTTAATTACCTCGGGACTGGCCCGCTCTGCAACAAAACCCGCCCTTCTAATTAAATATTATGTATTAGATATTTTATCTATCTATTCAGCAATCGATCTATCCTATATAACCGAAGCAGGTCATCAGCTTGGCCCTTGAGGATCGACCAACCGTGCAATTGCTCCCACTTTGCATGGACGGCAAGCGGCAAGCCATCGACTAACTAGTAGACGAGTCTGGATGCCCATCTGTGAAGGAATCCATACCCACTGACTGGGTCGCAAGGCTAGATACGACCAAGCCCGTCAGACGGTCAGTGTCCCGATCTAACCGGGGCCAAACTTTCTTCTGTAACGGCTCCATCGTCTCCGGGCACTACTAGGTTGTGTCGCCGGCTGGAATTTGGGAATCCTAGAACGGAAGCCCAGAGCAGCGGAAGCACACAGTGTGGCTTGTACACCTTCCAACTAATCACCAACCCCCGCCCAGGAATCCTTCACTCCTTGGGAAGAAATTTGGTGTCTAGATTGTCGATCTGCTTTGAGCCTCTTCATCCGTGCCGGTCCTTCCTCTTTCCGTCTTCATTGGGCATTGTTCCCGACCGTTCTAGATCCGGCTCCCAGTCAGCTGACCCGGTGCAGAGGCAAATCCAATGTTATAGCTTGCTGGGTCCCACTGCAGGTATGGATCCAATACGATGTCGCCTTGAATGCGGTGCCGCCGTCTCAGATGGACGAGGATGTGAGTTATGCTGCGCCGAACGACCTTGGAGACGATTATTCGCCGGCAGTCAAAATTTTACCATTGTTTGATGGTGAAACCCGAAATAGCCCATGAAGATCCAGGAAAATCACCCGTTCGTATTGACTTTGCATCTGCTACGGGAGATCGGGATGATCCACATGGGCCACAGTTTCAGGAAAACTCCGCAGAGCTGGAGGTCTGCAACGCATCTTCAAACGTTAAAGAACGATTGGAGCACGAGCCACGCCCCCAGAAGTCCTACCGCCGATGCAAGTAACAGGCCGTTTCCCTCCCAGGTCAAGGCCAGGTACGCCAAAAAGCCCACCGCAAGTTCCTTCCGTCGCGCGGCAGTTCGTTTAGTCTCCCATTCTGGATCGATCGGGAAAGGGACACCCATTTGCGTCGTATCTTCTGGCAGCACGGACTGCGCCGGGATAGATACGGCCAAGGCGACGGCGCGATGATCGGAGGTTGGGAATAACGGCAGAGCATCGTACTTTAGAGGTTTGACCTGACCTCGCTTGCTCGTGCCCGGTGGAGAATCCAGATACAACACACGGTCGCACCAACTGGGCCAGCGGGTCCTCGTCCACTTCCAATCTGGGCGTGCATTATCTGCCGTTGGATCACTTGCTGCTTGGCGTGCTGCCAACGTATACTTGTATGTTGGGGGGAATGTGATCGGGGCTTCGGAGAGTCCGTGGAAACACCGAGACTGTTCCATCTCGCGGGAAAGCTGATCTTGTTTCAAGAGATGTGAGTAGTGCTGAGGGTCGGAAGGGTCTACATCCGCTCGCGGGAATCGGCTATGGTCGTCTGGTCGTGGTGACACGTTGGAGGTACGGTAATTAAGATCACCTGCTAGGAAGAGGTAGCTTGTAGGCGTGTAGATGCCCCGATGGCCTTCCTGGGAATGCCGCAGCAGGGGCGCATTTTCCTCCGCGTTGGCTGTGTCGGGGATTTCCCCACCTGCGGCAGGTGAGTAGCTGAAGACCAATCTCTCGACCAAGCTGCGCCAGTCTGCGTTCCTACGCTCGACAGCATACTCCATGGGGGCGAGGTGCGCAGCAGCGAAAGTGAGGTCCAAAGGATCCCCGGCTCCTGCTGTGCCTCTGTAGGCAATGCGCGCCCCCACGGCACCCTTGTTGCCCATGTCTTGGAAGCCAAATCCTACACGGGCGGTATCAATTGATGAGACTTGGTCAGCGACATCCGACCGAGCGAAGACCATCAGACCGGTCATCCCGGAATTGTCGGTAACCAGATTGACGTAATGGACATCCCAGTATTGGGCAACTGCGCGATCCACCACCTGTGTCAGAGCCGAGAAGTATGGCGTTAGAAATGAGCCTCCGAGAAAGGCATAGGCGATAGGAGCTATTTCCTGCAGGGAGAGCACGATGAGTTCCGGGGCTGCGGGCGAGCTGGAACCATCGGTGCGGGGTAAGGCATCGAAGAAATGGCGGGAGAAGCGGTCGACATCGACAGGGTTTCGAGCGCAATTGAACGTGAGGATGTAGAGTAAGAGTGAATCCATTGTGTGGGTGGGTTTCGGTGGAGTTAATCTTGTTTCATGAGATGCCCAACAGTCAACAGCGAAGACCGAGCGTACAATGCGAAATGAGAGAAAGCGAAGGTTGAGATTGAGGGAGATCTTGGAGAGCTGGCACGGTGGACATGTGACGATCAGTGGATCCGTTGCCGGGGAATGAGATCATTGCTGCCATCGATCTATCACCACCTCATCATCACCAGTAAACACCGCGCAACAAAATAGCAACATAAACACACATTTTAATATTTTACCACCGACTGGTTTATTCTTGTATGATTCTGCCATCATACCAGAGCTGTTATTTGACGTTTATCCGTTCCAGTGACACCTGTCCTAGAGCTTCCCTTGCAACCCGTCAGTCAATTCCACCAACAACATCCCTTCAGCCACATCTTCCTCTTCATCTTCCATCTCATACACCCAGTGTGCTTGACCTGCGCGCGGACTGCGCACTTCTACCTCCATCTTCATCTGCTTGATAAACGCTATCACCTGGTTCTCCGCTACATGATCCCCGGCTGACACAAGCACTTCTATTAACTTCCCAGATAGAGGAAGGACAATGTGTCGAGGGTTACTCATGTCTCCACGGCGATGAGCAGATGAAAATAGAGCAGATGCTGTGGTTGAGGTGGCTGCCAGTTCCAGCCGATAAGCACTGGAAGAAGTGGGTGTCTGGTACTCGATCTCCGCTGCAAGCGAAGTCGGAAAGTCATTCCGCAGCACGCGTGTTAGTTGGAGATGATGTTGCTGTGACTTTTCAGACGCTTCCACTGGTGTGAGACTGATTGACCATGCATCTCCTCGCCGGAATAGAAGATTCGAAGAAGGCACGCTAGGCAACGCAGAGGGACGCTGTCCCTGCACAGGTGCTTGAGTACGGACCGATCGGGAGACAATTACTCCCTGCTGGAGCACTTGATCCAGACTGGACTCCAGCCATTGTGTGTCAATCCTTCCAGAAAGGAAATCTTCCTGAGCGACGATCCCTCTCAGCAATTCCAAGTTAGTCCGAACACCAGCCACTGTTGTGTCTGCAAGCACTCGCCGGGCCTTGAGCACTGCTGCCTCCCAGGTAGATGCAGTGACAATAATCTTAGCAAGTAAGTTATCCAATTGCGCCCCTACCACAACAGGACTGGCCCCAGCAGCACGAACATGAGTATCAACTCTCACGCCACGGCCACTCGGAACATTTAAGTCAGTCACCTTCCCAACACTGAGCGCAAACTGATTGCTCGGATCTTCCGCACACAACCGGAGCTGAATCGAACAAGCCTTAGGCGCATCCAACCCCCCACCCCCAAGCCCAACCTCCGCAAGCGTACACCCCATCGCCAGCTTCAACTGAGCCAGCACAAGATCCACCCCCATAACCTCCTCCGTAATCGTATGTTCAACCTGTAACCTAGGGTTAATCTCCAAGAAATAAAACTCCCCACTCCCCTCATTAACCAAAAACTCCACCGTCCCCAAAGACCTATACCTAATAGCCCTTCCCATCCTCACCGCAGCATCCACCACCCTCTTCACAAGCCCCCGATCCCCAATCACCGACGGCGCAATCTCAACCACCTTCTGAAACCTCCTCTGCACACTGCAATCCCTCTCCCACAGATGCCTCACCTCCCCCCCATCCCCAACAATCTGCACCTCCACATGTCGAAACCCCTTCACAGCCGCCTTCTCCACGAACACCGTCCCCGACGGCGACTCATTCACCGCGCCCCTCACCGCACCCTCCAACCCTTCATCCCCATATACAAGCCGAATCCCCCGTCCCCCACCCCCATCCACTGCCTTCACCATAACAGGATACTGCACTTGCTTCGCGAATGCCCGCACCTCTGCAATATCTGCCGTCGGCTGCGCCATCGCCGGCAATACAGGCACGTCGCATTCCACGGCTAGTTGCTTGGCTTGCAGCTTATCCCCCGTGCGAGATAGTACTGAGCTGCCCGGCCCTATGACGGTGATGCCAGCGCCTTGTAGACGGGCTGCGAAATCAGCGCTTTCGCTGAGGAAGCCGTAGCCGGGGTGTATGGCATCGATGGCATGCTCTTGGGCTAGATGCACTAAGTACGGGATGTCGAGGTATGTCGACACTGATGGGATGAGAAGTGCTTTATCTGGGTGAGCGGTGTCACAATGCGAGGTGTCGTCCTCAGTGTAGATGGCGTATACTTCTATGGGTGGGGAAAGCTCGCGAGCGGCTTGGATGATGCGCACAGCGATTTCGCCTCTGTTGCTTGACAGTTAGTTTGGGGGGGGTAATGTGGATATTGGGCAATGGCGTACCTGTTGGCGACGAGGAGTCGTCGGAAGGGTTTAGAGAATGTCATCATGGTACTGGTATGTTGTAGTGAAAGATTGATGGATTCGAATGCATAGATAGGTAGATTGGATTGACTGTTGTATGTCTAGATGGGGTTGGTTGCATCCCTCGGACCTCGGAATTAAGAGACCGTTGCGCTCATAGATATGATCTTTACCCCTCATGAGGGACAGCCCGCAGCAGTAACATGCAAGGGGGAAGCCCTGCAATTGAAAATAAGCTCAACAACCACCGCTTAAATATATGATATGAATACAACATAACTAATTGAAACACACCATGTCCGACAAAACCGACAAACCCCCCAAAGAGGACTCCCCCTCGCGCAACCAAGCCACCAAACGCCTCCGCCAACTCTCCGCACAGGTACTACCACCCGACTACTCCGACGTGCTCTCCCACATCAACACTCTCCGCACACTAGCCACAACCCCAGACCCATCTCGCAGAGGCTACATCCGCCAAAAGCAAGCAGGGAAGCTATGGGTTCGCGAACGTCTCGAACAACTTCTCGATCCCGACAGCTTCCAAGAAATCGGCTCGCTCTCGGGTACTGTAACATGGGAGAAAACCGGGCCTATGCGCGAGAAGCCCGTTGCCTTTACACCCAGTAACAATGTCCAAGGTATGGGGAAATTGCGTGGTCGGAAAGTCCTACTGACTGCGGATGATTTCACTCTCCGGAGTGGTCATGCGGATGGTGCTTCGCATGGGAAAACGCTCTATCTGGAGAAGCTGGCGCTGGCTCTGAGGTTGCCTGTTGTTAAATTGGTGGATGGGAGTTCGGGGGGAGGTAGTGTTACTACGATTCGTACGGCTGGGTGGAGTTATTTGCCGTATGTGTCGATGTATAGGCATGTTGTGGAGCAGTTGAACCAGGGAATTCCGAATTTGGGGGCTGTGGTTGGGCCGGCTGTATGGTTTTTGATACCCATCATCATTCATCTTCGAGTGGTAAATGTATCAGCTGACAGTGGTGTATAGATTGGATTGGGAGCTGCACGAGTAGTATCCTGTCATTTCTCCGTTATGGCGGCGGATGTGGGATCGCTCTTCAACGCAGGCCCGGAAGTAGTGAAGGGAGCCACGTTCGAGGAAGGACTGGACTTCCAGACTCTAGGTGGCCCGATGATACATTGCACTAACGGGACCATCGACAATCTAGCCGCCAACGAAGCCGAGTGCTACGAGCAGCTGCGCACTGTATTGAGCTACCTGCCCAACTCTGGACGGGAAGCACCACCGGTTATTGCTGCTGATGATCCAGAAGACCGTGAGGATGAGGCGCTGCGCCGGATCATCCCTCGACGGCAGACGCGCATGTACAACCCGTGGACTATTATTACCAGCGTCGTGGACAAGGGGTCATGGTTCGAGATTGGTGCGCTCTGGGGTCGCACTGCTATCGGGGGTCTGGCGCGCCTGGGAGGGCGACCGGTGGGCGTGATATCGCTCAATTGCGAGGTAAATGGGGGAGCTTTGGATGCAGCAGGCAGTCAGAAACTTGCGCGTTTACTGAAGCTCTGTGATGTGATGAATCTGCCTGTTTTGCAGTTCATTGACGTTCGTAAGTGATACGCTGTGTTCTTCCCTTTCAAGACACGCTCCGCTGATAATATGCAATGCAGCGGGGTATGCCATCGGCACCGTCGCAGAACGAACCGCGACTATGCGCTGGGGTGTAGAACTAGGCAAGACATATTTCACCACGACGATGCCCTTGTTCAATGTCATTACGCGACGAGCCTATGGGGTGGCTGGAGGTCTTATGCTTGGAGCGCGTGACCCGGTCATGCAAGTGGCTTGGCCATCCGGTCAATGGGGGTCCTTGCCATTGGAAGGTGGGATTGAGGTCGCACATCGTCACGAGCTGCGCGAAGCGGAGAAATTAGGCCAGAAGGAAGCCCGGTATAAAGAGCTGGAGGAGGAGTATCGACGGTTGATGAACCCAGTGCGGACGGCAAATGCATTTGGCGTTGAGGAGATCATCGACCCGAAGGATACTCGGCGGGTGTGTTGCGCATGGGCGCAACATGTATATGAGGTTATGATACCGGAGAGACTGGCCGATCGTGCAGCAGGGAAGATTCAGCCTATTTTTATGTAGGCTGCTAGCAAGTCACTCCATCTGGTGTTGGTGGATGTGAATTGGAAGTACAATCATTTCCCGCTAGTACTAGTAGTCCCTCGTTAGCTTGTAGACAGGGGATGCAGTATGTAACCGAGACGACCAAGAGCAAACAAATTAAAACATCCAATATACGAGATTACCCTCTCGTCCCTGGAAATCCCCACTAAGCGTTCATTTCGGTTAATTCCGATGGTGTCTGACAGCCAAGTGGGGAGCAAGCAAGCAAAAGCAATCAAGTCCCTGAGGGGTCGCCCGGAGGTTCGGAAATTAAATCAATTTCAGGGTCCATCAGTTAAACACTACTAAGATAGATAATAGAGAAATAACCCCCTTCACCACCATGTAGCTTTTATAAAATTATTTCTCATCTTTTAGAATAACCGTACCAAGTAATACCCAACAGACAAACACACCATGAACTTCACCATCATCAACGGCCAAATCTACACCCCGGGCCTAGCCATCATCGATGCTCCACAGCCCTATACTCCCCTCGGAGGAGGTACGTCCATCCATCCATCCATCCATTCACCCCCAACCAAACCCCCAACTAAGCAAAAAAACTAATAAACACAGACACCCTCCAAATCGCCATCGACACCTCCGGCGACGGCCAACTCACCTCTTCCAGCTCCTCCTCCTCCACCGAATTCCACACCCTCCACCTCTTCCTCACCTCCACAACCACACACAAAAACCTCACCATATCGAACGGCACCACTCCCAGCACCAACAACACCTACGTGGGACCCGTGCTAGACCTCGAGCCCTCGTCCACCGTCAAGCACGTGAACTGGATCTGGCCGGCATGTTTCGTGGGGAATGGTGGGGATAAACCCCCCCGGGGAGATTATAATGTCTCTGTGCATCAGAGTTTCCGGTGGGACGGGACGGATTATTATACGGTGTTTGAGTTGCCGATTTCGGTGACGAATGCTATTGAGGAGAGTGAGGAGAGGGTGGATTGTGCGGTGTTGGAGAATGAGTGGGTGGGGTGGGAGGTGTTGAGGGAGAGTAATGATACTTTGAAGGGGCAGCCTTGGGTGAGTGGGAGTCAAAGTGGTGGGAGTGGGAGTGAGGGTGAAAGTGGAGGGGGTGATGAGAGTACTAGTGGGAGTTTGGGGAGGAGGGGGTATAGAGCTGGGGTTATGGGGTGGGTTGTGTTGGGGTTGGTTATGGGGGTTGTTATGTGTTGATTCTCTTAGGTGGGAGAGGAATTCAGTTGGGATGTTATAATAATGGTAATAATAGTCGGGTTGTCTGTAGTGTTGTTACTGTGGTTCATTTGAGTGTCATGTTATATATCTCTAGGGCAGGCTTGATACTTCATGTGGTTGTTTGTCATTTGTTTATTAAGGTCAAATACATAGGTAGTAGCTCTCAAACTCCGATCCAAATTGAACGCTCATCATCAAAGATAGGAAGGACACTAGGCAATCTCCAGCCCAGTATACATACAACAGACGCATCGTGGCAATCGTGAACAAATGACCAAAGGTGTTAAGACAGAAAGAGAAGATAGAAGCAAAGAACCAAAGGAGAGGAGTGGATAGAGTGAAGCCCATGTGGACTACTCATGCACGCCTCATACGAAACCAGGTTGGTCCAAATCAAATGGAAGGCCGACGGTCGCCCCAAAGCCCAACGATACCCATGGCGAGGGCAAGACCAGAGAATACAGCCCGCACCTGCTGGAATCGACGCTCCGTGTTCATCTCCTTCTGTACACTTTCACCGTTGACATTCTCCTCTGCCTCGACCACCACGATGTCCTCATCCTTTTTCTGCTTCTGGACTGTCAGGCAGCCGCATCCGGTGTCCTGCAGAACAGACTGGACCCAAGCTACGAAGCCATCCTGGCCGTGGAACCAATAGTCGAAAACATAAGAGCCAACGGTCGAGGTAACGCACATCCAGATCAGATAAGGGTGCTTGCGCTGTTTAGAAGAGAGGCTATACGCGAACAGGAGACATCCGTTGGCGATGTTGGTCAGCCGCAGACCATGTTTACGGTTCAACCGCTTGACCTCGTTGAGGGACCGGGACGCGGTGGTAGCAGTGGGAAGAAGACTCAAGGAGGGGATGGCGACACTGGAAGCGGAGTATGACATGCCCTAGAGATGATACATTGCGCGTCAGTTGGCGGTTGGACAGCTTTGATGAGATCTAGCCCAGAAGGCTCAAAATCTTCGCAACAGGTCATAGAAATCATACCGTGAGCAGTCCCAGGGACACTGTGCCAACGAACTTCGAGACGGTGATGGGACACGCCATGGTGATCGCGGGACGAAAGTCAATGCTGCAAGAGGAACGTTGTGACTTGAAAGATTTGCTCCCCTAAGGAGGATGGAAAATCAATTTTTGAGGCGCCTGATAGAATGATTTGCTGATTGAAGACGTGGTGCGCTTAAAACTTCAAGGCGGGTGCAAAGATAAGGCCATAGAAAAGTTCGCGATGGAAGAAGAAGTGACGTTGTTGCATGCCTGAGGCTGGTGGAGACCTGTCAGCCAATCACCAGCTCGCTGTTAACATTCCGAGACGCATCCGAAGCTAGTCCTATTCCAGCTAGCTCTTTGAAGTCATGTCTCTCTCGGAACTAAGCCCAAAGGAGGCACAAAGAGTGGATTCAACCAAAGACTAACCTACCGAATAGAGTTTAGACCAGATTAGTATTCAAGACGAGAAGCCGAGGCTGGACTCGGAGTAACCGTCGGATTGCGGAGATTCCATCCAACGACCACCCGGGGTTTCCATTATAACTATCAACTCTCTGGGGTAACCTGAAAATCGCCAAGTAGCGACTTAACAAGATCGTCCTTCTCATACATATAGTGTATATACTTACATAATATTCTTACCATGTCTCTCCCCAAAGAAGCCTACCTAAGTAACACGTGGAAGGATGGCCTGTTCAGTGAGTCGGCCCGTGGCGGTCACCACATGCTCCGGCGGTCACTGACAACCAGCAGCAAACAAGGTCGTCTTCTGTACGGGAGGCGCAGGAACCATCTGCAGCGCGCAGGTTCGTGCTCTGGTTCATCTAGGTGCAAATGCTTGCATTATTGGCCGAAATGTCGAAAAGACCGAGAAAGCAGCCCAGGACATTGCAACTGCTCGTCCTGGTGCTAAGGTCATCGGCATTGGTGCAGTGGATGTACGAAAGTTGGACAGCCTTCAAGCTGCAGCAGATCGCTGTGCCCAGGAGCTGGGTGGTATTGACTATGTCATGTAAGTGTCACTTCGTTTTGGCTGGTTCTCTACTAATCTGGGTTAAAACTACCCAGTGCTGGAGCGGCCGGAAACTTTCTAGCCTCGATCAACCAGCTCTCGGCGAATGCTTTCAAATCGGTCATCGACATTGACGTTCTGGGATCCTACAACACCCTCAAAGCGACGATCCCATACCTTGTTGAGTCGGCGAAGAAGCACAGAATGGACTCCGAAACTCGTAAGTGGACGATATCGCGATATTCGCGATAAGCGCTAACATCGTACCATCATCAGTCAAACCCTCTGCAGCAGGAACTGGAGGACGTATCATCTTTGTTAGCGCCACTCTCCACTATCGCACGGCTCCTTTCCAGACGCACGTCTCAGTCGCCAAGGCAGGCGTGGATGCGTTGTCTCACAGCGTGGCCATCGAGTTTGGCCCTCTGGGTGTCACTTCTAATATCATTGCGCCCGGACCCATTGCTTCGACAGAGGTTTGTATTCGTCCCACATATTGTATAGGTACGCACATCTAACTTTTATCATAGGGCCTTGATCGTCTCCTTCCTAGTGATACGAAGGACACTTACATCAAGTCACAGCCGCTTGGCCGAGTCGGCTCAGTGCGCGACATTGCAGATGCCACGGTTTATCTCTTTGCAGACACTGGCAGTTATGTCAGTGGTCAAACTCTAGTGGGTGAGTCTCATCTTATCCAGATTCACCATAAATAGTATGTTAACACCTTTATAGTTGACGGCGCATCCTGGCGGATGTCGACCACTGGGGCAACATCGGGTAAACTTGCGTATCCCGATTTCCTTCTTTCAGGCAACCCCGTCCCCAACGTCAAAGGCCAAAAGAAGTCTAAGCTGTAGAGGTCTGTCTTTCTTTCTGGCCACAGGATAGACACTGTCTTGGTTTGCTATCTCCCATAGAGAATACTCTTTGTTCCCCGGGTTGGTACATAGTATATTTTAGATAAAGAAGTCTTTAAAAAGGGAACAAAGGCACAGTGTGCTCCAACTCTGTACTTTGACTCCATGTTTCATCAGGACATATAATAAAGACTATTCACAGTTTCAGACAATGCCTTGCTTCAGCACCATTCAATGTAAGATAATTACTGAGCAACCACCTAATGCATGAAAGCAACAATGGACTGGCTTTTTAGTATGCCGGTAGTCTACGTTGTTATGCCCAAGACAGATAAAAGACTGGCACACGAACTACCTGCTATATCGCTAATTCTCCGATGAAATTGTACTCGAATATCTAGCCTCACATCCAACACGAGGAAAAGAGGCACTTCTACTCCCTAATTACGAAAAAGCCTTAAACCCTCTCCCTTACTCCCAATTCTGCACACTCGCCAAAATGTCAGGCAGACGACCACCCAACCAACGGAGGATACCTATCGGAGCACATAAGCAAATAACTGCATCCGAAAATGACCCCGAAGAATGGCCGCAGGACAATGACAACATAACCCAACAACTCACAGAAGCACAACGCAAAGCCTTAGAACTTGAAAGGGAGAACAAGAACCTAACAAGCCAAGTCCATGATTTGAACCAAGTGCTTGTTGAGCGAGAACAAGCCTTCGCGCAATCGGAGCAAGAGCTGCGAAAGACCCAAAAAGATCTCAAAACGATAGAATCCCAAGTCAAGACGAACGAGGGGCATGTCCAAGCCGCCTACAGCGAAAATACTCTGCTTAGTACGAAGATCAATGCGCAAAGTGGCCAGATCAATCGCCTTCGTCAAGAGCAAAAGAAGTTGAAAGACGAGGAGGCTATGCGCCGTGGTGAGAATGAGAAGCTACAGCAGCAGATGCTTGAAGCAAGTCGAGAACTTAATGAACTCAAGCAGAAGCTGGCAGCGAAGGAATCGGAATCTGCAGCGCAAGAAGCGGAGAAGAGGCAGCTTGCTCAGGCGATGGATAAATATAAAGGGAACGATGCTGAATTAAGAAAGCAGTTAAATAGGCTTGCGGAGCAGGTGCATACGAATGAGTCTGCGATGGCAATAGATACTGTCGCACAGCCTACAAACCCGATGTTATCCGCCTTGGTCCCTTACACCCAGAATAAGCTGATTGCTAGCAACCCCTTCGGCTCCTTCAACTTCCAGAAACCATCTCTGACACTGAGGCAGGAATTGGGAAGTAGCTTGTATAGTGGATCGCAGAGCACTGGAAGTAGCGATGCCCCGACACCGGTGGGCCAGAGAGGCAGCATGAGCAGCATTTTCAGCGCGCCAGCGATCCCTGCTCAGAATCTTAGGCCACCCATTGAGGCGGTTCCGGTGGACTGGAGCAATATCCAGCAGGCTGCCAAAACTGGCGCCATTCCGCATGTGGGACAAGCCCCTGTACCTAGTTCCAGCCTGAAGCGACCTTTTGCTGGATTGGAAGCCCTGCAGGGCTTTGATGGCTCGGAAGAGGCGATCAAGAGGCTGCGTGTTGCTGCCGATCAGCAGAATCTTGGGTCCAATTCAGACAACTCATTCTTGACTCTTTTCCAAAAGTATTTGCAGACGTTGCAGGAGGCGACTAATCAGAACCAGAGTCAGCAAGAACAATTAGAGTTATTTAAGAGAACTGTCCAAGCTCTGACCGCGCAAGGCAATACGAGCTTTGGAAGTCAGTCTTTGGACCCTCAAATAAGTTGGATTCATGATTATCAGAAAGCTGCTGCACAGGCAGCTAATAATCCTTCAAAAGCTCAGCCTCAGGCTATAGTTACCGGCGTCAAGCAGTCAAAAAAATCACAGTCCAAAGAGAAGCCAAAAAGATTCCTCACACGTACACCGCAGAAATTCGAATCATGGCCAGTGTATCTGGAAAAGAGATATAACCCGTCGACGTTATTGACAGTACCACCTATTCGAACGACACGAAAGAAGTTTGCCAATTTCTCCGTCCCTGGAGCATTTGTTGAAGATGATAAGACTGATAGCACAGGGTCGGAGTCGCAGTGGGAGTTTCAAACCGCACCAGAGTACCACGAACCTCAGGTCAGTGTCCCAGAGCAAGTGCCGATACCACCTGCTGTCATAATGGCACGGTTGGCTTTGCTCTTAGTGGGAGCTTTTATAATTGTGACGGCCGTGGTTGAAAATCTATTCGGACAGACAAATAGAACGCAGGACGTCTGGATGCAATATAATGAGGTACCTGAGGATGTCTTGGCTAAAGTCCGGGGCAGCGGACCCCCTGTTGTAGGGTCGATGCAGGGCTTGGATTACACCTTCGCAAGATTCGTCGATATCAGATCTCGCCTAGTGGGATGATAGATGAAACCGGTCTGCTGGTACAGAGCGGGTATGCGATCTCAGGGAGTGAAGGAAGTATATTCTAGAGTTTTCTATCCATGCCTCGTGTCTTGCCTACGATAACCAAGATGGCTTATGCGTACAAAGTAGTTGTGGTGCTGATCGACCACCATGAAATGAACGGGATTCAACGCTATTTTAGGAAATATATACCACGTGACTAATATTTTGCAGCGGATGCGTCAGCTGCTCCCAAAGAAGCAGGCGGTGGGAATTTCATGCGTCACCTGCTCCACCCGCGCGCCATCAACAGCCAATCAGGAAAGAAATCGGGCGATGCGCGATTCGCCTTTGAACCCCCCTCCTGGCTGGCTATGCAAAGAAGCGCTCGCTGGTGGAATCCATATCATCAAAGCATTCCCCCCATTCATCTATTTCTTATTTTTACAGCTGGATATCATCCGTTTTCCATCTCGATAACTTTTGTTCCCATCGCCAAACGATCTCTTCCGTTCATCGTTTTTAGTTTATAGTGCCTCTTCACCCGTCTTATCGGTGCCTGGCTTAGATCCGCCTCGGCCACCATGCACCTCCGTTCGTGCCTTGTGGGGAGCGTTCTCGCTCTCGGCGCCAACGCCTTCCTCGTTATCCCCGAGGTCGAGGAAGCCGTCGCCCCTGAGGGTGACTTCCCTCCCCTCCATCCTTTGGAGGTTTATGCTCCCAAGAAAGAGCAGGTTGAGCTTGCCTGCACCGAATGTCCGTTCCGTGAAGTCAGCGAGGATGGGAAGGTCAGCTGGACTGACGGCTTCCAAACCTCTTTGGTAAGTGGTTCCGAGCCGGTGTCTAGTACGACGTCGGAAAAGTGAAGGGACATGGATGCTAACAGTCGCTGCAGTTGGTCGACTTCTCCACTGAAAATGGCTTCCTTCTGGCCAACGGTCGTCAAATCTTCCCTCCGCCACCTCCCACTCTCATCACTGCCGTTCAGCGCCGGGCGTCGGATGGCGTAGAAACGGAACCTATCCCGTTGGGATACGCTGTGGAGGAGATGCCCTTGCCCACTCCGCCTGAGGACCCTATGGACTTGGTCGCTGTGCGTTTCACTGTCCTCGACCTCGACAGTCGCCCCGTTCCCTTGGATACGGTGGCTTTGACGCTTCTCCATGACCCTAGCAGCGGCGAGCTGTACATCGCCAAGACTGAGATCGAAGAAGCGACCCCCGACCGCGTCTCTTGGAAACAATGCCGCGGAAAGCCGAAGTGTCTGAGGAAGCTGTTGTTCGACCGGATGCGCGCCTTGTTCGCAGCGGCCAAGGCCCGTATGCTTGGAATGGCACCTAAGCCGAAGGGCTGCGGTGGTCCTCACGGTTTGGGCATGCCTCCCCCGCCCCGGCCTCACCATCACCACCACCACCACCCCGACGACAAGTTTGACCCTGAGCGCATGCCGCCTATGCCGCCCATGGAGGGAGAGGAGGCTGGGTTCCACGGCCACATGGACAAGTTTGACCGCCCCCACCATCACCACCACATGCACCACATGCATCATGGCCAGTGGGAACGCACCGTCCACCGCGTGGTCCGTTTCATTGTCGTTCCCGCTGTGCTGGGTGTTTTGGCTGGTCTGGCCGCGAGCGCTCTTGGTATGCTGGTTGGTCAGATTGTGGTCTTCATGTGGCAGCGTTTCCGCCGGTCTACTCCCAAGAAGTCTTTGGAACAGGGTACCGTGTCTGAAAAGCAGGGTCTGATGATGGAGTCTGAAGAGCTTCCCCCGGCGTACAGTGATGAAGAGCCTGTAGCTGAGGAAGTATCTTCGGCCAAGAATTAATTCGACCCTCAATAATATTTTCTCTCATTTGCCCTTTCATACCGCACATTAAGATACTGCACCGTTCTTGATCTTTGCTACAAAATGATGGATTTGGCAAGACTTTCGGGCACCCCTTCAAAAACAAATACATCTCTGAACTTTTCGTTGTTTCATTCAAGGTGATATTGTAAAGCGAACTCTCGTTTCAACTTCCTTTTTTCTTTTGAAAATTCTTTTTCAAATTCATCTTATTCGATGGTGGTTTCCCGCAGGGATTTATAGTTCGCGCTCGGCTTTTCCCTGTCGGCTGTACCAAGCTACTAGTCAGACTTCACTAGTTTCCTTATGTAGTTCCAATATGGTTATAAGTTGTTCCGTAGCGGAAGCACTGTGCATGAACAGTAACACCTACACTAAAGCAGGGGTGCACGTAGCTGCACTGGGGCTGCCTCGTGGATGTTTCAGAGCAAGACAGACCCTTGTCACGTGAGGATATTCACGGCCGCCTGCCAGGAACGGCCGCCGCCAACCTTCCCCTCCTCTTCCTACCATGCCAACCGTCATCGCCCCAGGTTCTTCTGTCTGTCGCAGCCAGAAGCCCTCGCCGGACGATGTTGCGCTAGCTCTCTACGATGACCCTGATCCCTCTTGTGAATCATTTGTGGGCTTCTGTGCATCTTCCTCGCCGAACCCTGACTGCCGCTTGAGCTCCAGCAGCTCCCGCTTCCGTCCGAATCGGCCGTCAGCCGGATACTCACCCCAGACGCAGGAGGATACCTGCCTGTTCATTCATTTCACGCCACCGCACCAAGTTTCTCGAGCGCCATGATGCAGTGGACGTCATTCGTTCAGAAAGCCCAGTCCTTCATCGACCCGGCGAATTTCACCCTTCCTACCCTATCCTCCTCCGATCGCAACCCGTCCAAAGCCTCCCTGTTTCGCCAGCAGTTCCGCCTCCCCGATTCTCAAAACCCGCTGCAAGAGATCACCGCAGAGCTCATTCTCCCTATTCCTCATACCTCGTCACCGTCTCATGGAGAATCCAACCGCCCTTTTGTTGAGCGCCCTGGGAACCGTTATGCCGGCAGACTCCATCTGAGCGAGCGGTTCATCTGTTTCTCGACCCAGCCGACCAGCTTCGCGCCCTCTGCTAGTCTTGGGGCATCGACCCATTGGGCCGGTCAAACGAACGGCACAGGTCCTTCTGGAAATGGATTTACTATTCCGCTCTGCTGCATCCGGAGGGTGGAACGGCTCAACAGTCTTAGCCATGTCTTCTCCCTTGCGTTGACGACATGGAATGGTGCGCTCGGAAAGCAAAGCCCCGACTTTGTTCCGCAAAGGTTCACAATCCAGCTGGCTGGAAGCAGGCAGGCCTGCGAACGCTTTTGCGATGGTTTGAAGAAGGGACTGCGCGAGTGTATGAAGGAAATTGAGAACCTGCGTGTTGTCGTAAACGACTGTTACTCGGAATACCTACTGTCTGGTGCTAAGTCTAAAGCCCAAAATGGCGAGACAACTGAACAGCGCCAGCCACCCGATGCCGGGCTGGGAATGATATTCCGTTATCCCGGTGATGCTCGCAAGCTTCGGGATCGCAGTAAGATGAGACTGTGGGGGGAATATTTCAGAGGTATGCAGTCCAACCCGAGTGCTATTTATTGGGACGCTTGTTAAATAATGTTGTAGAGAATGGTCGCAATGCCACTATCATTCGTCAGCCGACCTTCCATAAATTGATCCGAGTCGGTCTGCCCAATCGTCTTCGCGGCGAGATCTGGGAGGTGACGTCGGGTTCGCTTTACCTTCGCCTGAGATCCCCGAAGTTGTACGCCGAGACGCTCTCGAAGTTCTCTGGGCAGGAGTCTTTGGCGATTGATGAGATCGAGAAAGATTTAAACCGCAGCTTGCCTGAGTATGCTGGTTTCCAGAGCGAAGAAGGCATCGGTCGCCTTCGGAGGGTCCTCACTGCCTACAGTTGGACCAATGCGGAGATTGGATACTGCCAGGCCATGAACATTGTCGTTGCGGCTCTCTTGATGTTTGTTTCCCAATACCAATTTTGGAAGTGAAGCTGACCCTTGCAGTTACATGTCCGAGGCACAGGCCTTCTTTCTGCTGTCTGTACTTTGCGATCGTCTCCTTCCCGGCTACTACTCCACAACAATGTATGGCACATTGCTCGATCAGAAAGTGTTTGAATCTCTGGTCGAGAAAACTATGCCCGTGCTCTGGGATCACCTCACGAAGTCTGATGTGCAGCTATCCGTTGTTTCTCTCCCATGGTTCCTTTCCCTCTACATCAATTCCATGCCGTTAGTCTTCGCCTTCCGTGTACTGGACGTATTTTTCCTCGAAGGGCCCAAGGTTCTCTTCCAGGTTGGCTTGGCCATCCTTCGGATCAATGGCGAGGAGCTTTTGGATATCCAGGATGATGGTTCATTTATCTCCGTCCTCAAGGCATACTTCTCGCGCCTCGATGAGTCTGCCCATCCGAGGTCTGAGAATCCCAAGCTGAGGGCCATCACCCGGTTCCAGGAGCTTATGGTTGTCGCCTTCAAAGAATTCTCCCAGATCACTCACCAGACGATTACGGAACAGCGTGAAAAGCACAAGGATGCCGTCCTGGAGAACATTGAAAGTTTCGCCAAACGGACATCCATCCGTAACCTCGGGCCAGACAGTAAGAAGCTGAGCATGGATGATCTTGGCGTCATCTATGACCGTTACTACGAGGTTCTCTATGACCATCAGCAGAGGCAGAAACTCTTGGACGAGGAAAAGAGGCGCCAGGAAAAGAAACGGGTTGAGAGAACATCTATCCTTGGGCCTCCTGTGGATAGAGAGGTCGGTCGTGTTGGTCTTGGTCCCAGTCCCACTCACATGGATTATGATGCTTTCCGGGAATTCCTCGCGGCCACAGCAAAATGGGCAGTGGCGGACTCGCCCCCGTCACGAAAGGAGTCGGCTGAGCAGGGCTTCAACAGTCTGAAGGGCTGGGGCAAATCCTCTTCGTTGTGGAATAACAAGCCCGAAGCAGCAGATCATGAGTTCACAAGACGGCTTTTCCGCAAATGGGCAACGGATCCCGACGAAGGTCTGAGCTTGCAAAACGTAGTCAACGGCCTTGCAAGACTTAAAGGGCCTCGCGACATCATGAACAACATCCAATACTTCTTCGACCTTTACGATGACGAGGGCACTGGACGGGTTGATAGAGAAGGCATTCTTCGCATGTCAGAGGCGCTTCTATTCCTTTCTCGGCGAGGCTTTGACGGAGCTATTTCCCCCACGCAGTCTGTGGAAGACATCAAGACAAGTGAACGTGACCCAGATAGACTCAGTACAGACGAACGTTTCTTGGGAAGTGTCAGCTCTTTCATCCGTCGTTGTTTCGAATACGCAGATCCCAGCCATCCTGACAGCAGAGCAGCTGAAGAGCAGAAGGATCAGGCGGATGCGGAGGAAACAGCCGATAAGCTTGGGTCCTTCAGCATCGGTGATGATGATGAAGAAGATCTTATCGATGTGAATGAAGACACCAAATCGACTGCATCGGCTGAAACCGAAACACCAGCGAAGCAATCGAATGAAGACAAGTCCAACACGCAGCATAATCGTGCCGTCTCCGAATCCGCAAACCCCGCGCTCGATCCGAACAATCCTCTACACATCACCCTTCCCACCTTCCGCATGGTGATTCTTGCTGATGAGCTGTTGGAGCAATTCTTCGATACATTCTTCCCACAATCATTCCGCCTTTCCGATCATGGATTACAAGCTTTGGCGTCCGCTTCTCTCTCGTCCAACCTCACCACCTTCTCCAACATCGGCGTACCCAAACCTCAGTCCAGCGCAGCAGCCGGTGCATCTGTGGCAGGAGCCTCAGGCGGTATCGTACCACCAGGCAAGGGTCTCCGCGGAGTTCTGGACAACATCGTATCAGATGGTATCCGCATGGCCGCCGAAGTCAAGAAGAGAATGGACGAAGCACAACGCGAACTGGAGCGCACCGCCCTCAACCGCGACGACGACGAAGAAGACGAAGAGGAGGAGTACGACGGTCGCGGCGGCGTTGCCAGCGCATCCGCCATGGTCGGCGGCATCTCCAGCTGGGGCGCAGGTGCCTACGGCGCAGACCCCGAGCGACGAAGCGTCAGAGACGCAGATCGCGATTTGCTCGAGGGAGCCGAAGTCATCAGCATGCGTGGCAAGGATGATGCATCCTTACTCGACGATAGAGATGAACATGAGCACACAACAGCACAAGGATCCCAGAGCCCCCATGAGCCAAGTCAAGCCGAACACAACGTCATCAGCAAGGTCGAGTTCGAGTCGTAAATTCCCACCCCCATCACTACCGTCCATCAATCACATCACCCCCGCCGCTCTCCTACCCCATCTTCTTTCAGATCTTTCTCTCGCCCTATCTCCTATCTCCTACATTGTCTGTGTCATGATTTTACATCTATTCCACTGGTTACTTAACTGCCGGTCATCACCCCATACAATTGCTGTCTATCCTCGTTTAGACGTCTGCTGATTGTTTCTGGAAGATCCATTGTATGTATGCATGCATGTACCATGTTGTTATCGCATCCTCCGCAATACAAACAACGATCTACTTTACTTTGCACTTAATAAAAAAATGTAGTGTAATCACACTGTAAGCAACCAAGCAACATAGTATAACCATTCACTAGCAAGGCTTCATCTGATCTGGTGACTGCAAACTGGAATGGAATGTATGCTACAGCTACTACCGGAAGAGACCAATCCGTCCCTTGAGCGTTTCCAATATGCAATGTAGTTAAAGCTTCACAGAGGGAGTACCCTGAATTACACGTACGAATGAGGTGAGGAAAGGGGCACCAAAACTGAATTTTATGCATTATAATGCGAGGCTATCTTATGTATGTCTGACTGACTATGCCAACTATGTATGTACAAGATCGAACAAACCCGTACTCAATGGCCCAAAAAAAAGAAAACTGCCCTGGAGTACGGCAAGAAACATG